TTTTATATTGTATTTTAATTGTTTTTATCTCCTTTGTAAACTGCCCAGAGTAGCTTTTCAACGAGATGGGTGGTGACAAATTTGATTTCTAAATAAATAAAATAATAATACCTTTGCTTAAAGTTACTAATGTCATTGCTCTTCAATCTGTTTTGTAATAGCAATTTTGCTATAAATATCTGAGAACAGTTAAAGACAGGATTGTTTTTTTACCTTGGGTTCTTTTAAGTAACAGTGCATGGCCTGAGTCACATCAGCAGCATGAACTGCATTGTGGTACGGGTTGTGGCTGTGATAATCTTCTTGAACCATTACTACAAATGAAAATAAGCATTAATACATGGAGGAAAGAGGAAAAGATATAACCCCAAAATATTTCTTTCCTGTTCTTGATCCATATCCATTAAAATGGCCACCATAGATATAAATGTGATAAAGTTCAGCAATGATTTAGCAGAAAGGTTCAAACGAAGGCAACCTCCTTTAAAACATTCAGGGATATCTGAATGTGTTTATCACCACTAGAAAGTAAGGTTTATATTAATTTTAAAAACCTGAATCAGAAAGAAAAAAAATCAGGAAATTGCCCTACATATTAATATTTCTAAACCTTTAACAAATATGGAAATGTTTTTAAACCTCATTAGGCACTGACTATTGTAGATACGTAAATGAAAAACTCCAATATGGTCCAAATAAAACTGAACAGCAGAAAATTCAGAAAAGCATTGCCGGTATCTATCTAAACGGATAACAGCTAACATAAAATGAAGTCTGCTGATTGGAAATGCTGCCCTATTGGCCTTATGGCCATAACAGCAAGCAGGTTTCTCTCCTTACAGCACTATACATGAAGTTATGAGTCACAGGGCATTTCATTAGTAGTTTTTTTGGGTTTTTTTAAAGAGGAAAATAATCTCATATTCAGTAGATGCACATAGGCAATAACTGCCTGAGAAACGAAGTCTCTAGATAAAATCATTTTAACGTTATAATCAAGTATTTATTGTTTTGCTATACCTTGCATCTAGCCAAACTTGTCTGATCCAAAAACTAAGCAGACCTGGTTAATGCTTCAGACAAGAGATTACCAGGAAATCTCAAAGTATCAAAAAAGATAGGGAAATCGAACATATTAGAAGGCAGTAAGAACAAGCTGCTTCCATACTGCTGTCAAGATTTCATATAGTCACAGGTATCTACCTCAAGGAAGTCTTTGCCTTAATAAAAGTTACCTAATTTATTTGACTAGTATCACCCTGCATTTTTCGGTGACTAATTTACCAGAGTATCCCAATATACAACATATGCTTTTATGCAGATTTAAGTGCAACATTAACACAAAGGCCTTTCTAGCAAAGTGTTTCATTTTGCACTATGTGACACAACTGCTACAAAAGATCCAGGTTTCTTTTTATAGGGAAGCACTTCAGATGTGGGGTAATACTGTTTTTCTAAGCACTTCAACTGCAGTATTACACTACTGAAAAATGCAGGTCATCCACCCTTAATGTATCTGCTGCAGTTTGAATTGCTATGCAGTTAAGGCAGGAGAAGAGAAATAATTACAGACTCTACTTGCTAGCATCATTAACAATCACTAAAGACAAGGAATACATTCAAGCCTTCCCATTCCCCAGTAATATTTTGTGAACTGCATGTTTTTATTTTTCATTGTTTTATCTTTACAGGATGAGTCTACCTGTAAAATCTGCCAAATACATTGGCAAACTTCTAGGAAAACCACCATACAGAAATATCCACCAATGCATAATCTCCTCACTTTTTTGTTTACTTTCCCTGTTTTTATAGCTATTGTGGGTTTTTTTTCTCATGTTGGACAATATGCATAAAAAGGAAAAATAAGTTATCAATCCACAGTATAGATATTTTTCTCATTTAAAGGGAAAGGATTACCGCTAATTAATGAAATGTGTTTTAAAAAAAATTACCAGGAATGTTTGAACTTATGAATTTTTTACCTAAAAATCTGCGTAGCTTCATTGTATCTAGTTGGAAGTATTCTATAAGTCCATGAAGATTGAACAGGTGAAAAGTTAATGTGACCAAACTGTTTCCTAAAAACACACATACACAAAGAAACCATATTTAATAGGAAGCAGTCTAACTTGTTTAAATCCAAAATCTACCGATTTATTAAATTTGTATGCCACCCATCTCCCCCAGAGGGTGACTATGCATAACATACATATTTCTTCCTGATCATATCTTTCTCCAGAATATAGTTCTCAAGTAAAGACTTTAATTTTTAGTGTTTTCATATCATCAAATGATTCAGAAATGTATTACCGAGTATCATAAAATGAACCCATTAATTTCCAAAAGCCCCTTTACAGGTGGTCCTTCCTTACCAACCACAATTGGGACTGGCAACTCTCTCGCTAAATGCTGCAGTTGCTAAGCAAAAAATCATGCTAAGCGAATCACTGTGGTCACTGAGATATCACATGACCACAACTTGCAATTTCACTTCCCCATTCTTCATTAATTCTGCTTGTTGGAAGCTGGTTGTGAACCTTACAAATGGCAGTCATGTGACTGCAGGATGCTACGATGGCCATAAATGCAAGGATTGCTCACAAAACTCTTAATTTTTTTACATATCACAATAGTAATTCAATTGCTCTCTCTTCTACTTAATCCTATATTGCAGATGCTACAACAAATCCAGAGAACAAGAAACATAAAAAGTAGAAAGTGGATTTAGGTAGCAATCAATAACCATATATTCTGATCAGAACAGATTTAGGCTGCGTGGGAAAACACACTGAAGACATGCTTAGAGAACGAAGTGAAAGCTCATCACAATAATGCATCAACATTTTAACCTGCTATTATCCTCTTGTTAAATCTGCCTTTCTTCAATTCTGCAAGCAATGTACAATAAATAGAAAGTTCCAAGAAACTATTTAGCAAAGTAAATATATTATGAACTCAAAATTCTAAAAGATTTCTGAGTAAAAATGTTCAAAATCCAATCATCTGCATTTATTTACTTGACTGATTTGATACTTGGTGAAAGAGATATGTCTTTACAGACTTCCTAAAGACTGAGAGAGGAATCAGATACAACTTCCAATGAAATTTGTTAGATAATTTGGGAGTAATGCAGAAAAAGCCCCTCTTCCCCATGCCAGAAAGACAATCTTATTATGCAGGGACACCTTCGAGGGCCCTCTTGTTGATTTTAACAACCAGATATGCTAACCACAAAACAGGCAGTCCCCTATATACATTTGCTACTATTCTGAAATTATCTGTTGCAACCACTTTTTCAGAGCTCATCCATCCCAATGTTTTACTGGCTGAATCTAATGTTTTCTGTTATAATTACTATAGATCATAGAACAGTGTTTTTCAAACTAGGCAACTTTAAGATATATGGACTTCAATTCCCAGAATCCCCTAGCCAGCAAGAGAATTCTGGGAGTTGAAGTCCACATCTTAAATTGCCAAAATTGAAAAACACTGATATAGAACATCCTACATAAAGCAAACAATATATTTCTACAAAGTAGTTGGTCTGTAAATCTAAATGCAAACTTAACTTTCTTCCTTATCACATTCTGCACAGGTCCTTAATATATGATCCCATTAATTCTTTCTATCTATATGTTTAGGATTTTTTGTTCTGTTTCTTTTGCCTTTTGCTGTTCATTATCTTTAATTTTGTCTTTCCAGGACACATCAGGAAGACAGCAGTTAAAATAATCATGGTTTAAGTAAAGTCTGCCCTTAAAAGGAATGGGATCAGGATTTTAAAAAGTGAAGGAACTGGCTGTTTCAAGCCTCTTGAGCCAAAGATTTCTTACCATAAAATCCCTACAGAAATGTTCACCTGCTCATAAGGCTAAAGCATATCTGGAGGTATGAACACATAAGCTTAAGGTACGCCTTAAAGCTTAACAGTTTATAAAATTCAACTGAATATGCTTATAAACTCCCTTGCCATTTTTGCATTATGCATATGAACTTCTTTTCAAGCAGCCTGCCACACAGGGAGATGGAGATAGGCACGTGTGGACACTCATTTATCAGCCCTGCATATAAACTGAGAAATGCCAAGATAGGGTTAAAGAGAAAAGTTATTCCCAACTCTACGAGCGTAAACCCACAACTGATCATCAAGTTACCAGATTTCATGTCTGAAAGCAGCAGAATATTAGTCAATCTATTTTGGTAGCCCAAGAGTCTTGATGGCCTTATATCCATACATAGCACCTTCTACTCAGTTTTTAAAGCAGTATCTTCAAAGTAACAAATGGAACCTTACCGTTTGTTAGCCTGTCAAAAAGGAAGATATCAAAATTCCAGTTCCCAACTTTTTCTAGCATACACTGAAAGCAAAACAAAACATTTTATTTGGGAATAAAAACCACTTCTCTCCATATGCTATATATCTGAATCATGCTTGCTGTAATTTCATAAGTCTATACAGATTCTGTAAAGAATAGTTGTCAGAACAGAAAAGTGCCAAGATGCCTGATCTGAGATTACATAATTGTTCTGACTTGAGAAATTCCAGAAAGTATCATTTTCTTCACTAATGGATCAGATGGGTTGCAATTGCCTTCTTACATCAACAGCTTTCTCTCATAGAAGCAAAATATCTCTTTTTCTTTTGTCCTAAGTAGACCAATATTAAAATGATCAACTATTCCTAAAACAAAGCAGATTCATCTGAACCTTACTATGAATAAAACTTTTAACCAGATTACTCAAACTGCTTCCCATGTGCTACTTGTAGTTAGATATATTTCTATAGGGATATTTTTCTAGGCAAAGCTAAAAGTAGAAGGTGCTGCTTTTCAGTTGCAGTAGCTGTGCTTTGGAATAGCCTCCTGACAACTCCTTGCTGGTCTTCAGGAAAATATTTAAATATATATTTTTGGACAGCATTCTCCTAAGTTTATACACTATGCCATATTTTATTCCACTGATTTGTTGTTAGTGATATTCTTTTAGTCTTTTAATTATTATTTGTTTTATTCTAATTATAGATTTTTGTTTAATTCTACATTATACTTTATGTAAATTGATGAGTTGCTATATTGCAGTGGGATAAGATAGATAAATTTCACATCTATAAGTCTTTAATAGATGCACTATTAGCATTTAATACAATATTATTTACTTGCACACCTTAATACACATTACTATTTCTTTTAGAGCAAAGTTACAAGATAGCTATAAAAACAAACCTTAGCTTGTCCATTGTAATCATCATCTAAAATGTTTGAAGAATTTGGAAGAGTAATACCACGGAAGAAACGGGAAGATCTCAAGTACCGCTGGAAACTCAGTAACCTTCGTATATTTCTTGCAGACACAGAAACTTCAAATTCAGAATTTGCTGGATGGGGGAAAATAGTGAGATTTAAATTGTATAATGCTTCCCTAAAACTTTAAAAGTTGAATCTATAAGGACAATATTTATTTACAGAAGGATAGCCAAACATGTATTCCCTGGAAGATGTTAAGGGCTATAATTCCCATCATTGCTAACCACTGGTCATGCTGACTGGGACTGATGAGAATTGGTAGATCAGAAGTTCTCATCTGGCTTTAACAATTTAAATTCTGTACAGTGATCAGATAGGTTAGCCTATTTACTAAAGAAAAAAGAAAAACATAATATAAATTAATGCTGAATAATTTGATTGTAAAATGCCCTTCTATTCATATATAGGGAAAGGCAATTTTCTCTTCTTCATCCCCATACCAGCTCTCCAAAGTACATATGGATCAGATTTTCAGGGAGGAAAGGAACTAAATTATCCCCTACCCCCCAGGCTAATTAGCAAGTGTCAGGAACATGCCTTTCATGAGCAAATTATAACTGATGGGATTTTAAAATCCAACATTTAAATTCCAAACATGCCAAAGCAATAGGAAATGTTATTCAGATTGAAATTTTTGGATCACTTTATGCTACAATTGTCATACAACTGTAATTACGCTGTTAGCATAAATGTATAAAACCCAATTTATTGCTTTATCTCTGAACCTGAATTCAGTATTGTGGTATATCAGGTCTTCTAGTTACTGAGTATAGTGGATGAGTAAACTACAAGACTTTTAGCAGATAAAGCATTGCTATTTAATGATTGTGAGTGGAATAATCCTAAACTCCTTTTCAGAACAATGATTCAGGCTAGGTCCGGAAAATAACCTTAAGTTTGTCCACACTATAACAATTAAACATTAACAACAAAATCGGCCACACAATGTTGACATTTTAGAATTCACACACATAAAACCTATCTAAAATCCTGTATAATTTGGCAGTTTTATAACTGCAAAAAGATTCAACTACAGAAAGCTCTTATTTCTAAAACGTATGTCTTGTTCTTCTATTTGTATCCCTATATTCTTTCATGAGCTTTATAGCCACTGTGGTCTCTAATACAAAAACATTCCTGATATTAATGAAAGGAAAAGTATCTGGTAGAAAAGTTATTTATTTTTGAATTTTATTAAAATACTTTAAGCCCGTTTTGATACCTTTGCAAGTCATAATACTCAAATCTTTCTTGCATCGTTCAGACAACATGAGAAACGGAGCCATTTCAGAAAAGCCCCTTTTGTAGTTCTACACTTTTAGGAACTAGCCACCCACAGAGCCATGATCAACTTACGTTGCCTGAACAAGATGGTAATGAACCACCTTGCAAATAATATTTTGGGGGGAGGAGGGAGAGAGACTAATTTATAGGTAGTCCTCATTTAGCAATCACAATTGGGACTGGTAACTCAGTCATTAAGCAAAGCAGTCACTAAGTGAAACTGACTGTGTTTATCTTTTTTTTCCCTTTTTTAAATATGACTGTGTTTGACATGTTTATTGTTTTATACTTTTTTTGCTGTACGCTGCCCAGAGTCACTTCTTGTGAGATGGGTGGCCATATAAATTTGATAAATAAATAAATCTTACTTCAGCTTTCTTTTGCTTTATAAACCTGTGAAGGTCATAAATGTGAAGATTGGTCGTAAACTTACTTTTTCATCACAGTCATAATTCTGAACAGTCGCTAAACAAGGCAGTTGCTAAACAAGGATTACCTGTACTACCTTTAAGTTCTCTCTGAATTAAGGTCTCATACTAAACAACTTAACCATGTGACACAAATACACATTTCTGAAGCACATTCAATATGATTTAATGCATTATCCTATGCCACATTTAACTGTACTTCTTAATTAATCAATACTTTCACACAAAGATAGGACAGAAGTGAATATAAAATAAATATAAAATTGCCATTCCTAAAAAGACAATTGAGGCATTTTTTATCCAATATATCCAACACCTCAAAATCCATATGCTAATCAAACAGTGTATAGTGGCTTGGCTATCAAAAGCACAATCCTGTAAATAAAGGCATTAATTGTAAGCAATATATGTATCTTCACAAGATAACTTCTCATTTTCTTTCCCATAGCATTTTAAAGAGAAAAGTACCTGATATTTCCCACAAATTAAAACTTTCACCTCTGTTTAAATATGCCATGAACTGAATAGAAAGTTTGTGTTTTAGAATGTCCTTTTATTCTAGAACATTTTAAAAAGATCTACAGAAGAGAGGGGAAAAATTATGTTTCCAAACTAATAACAAAAATGACTTTCTGAGCTTGTGTTTCTGAGATAAGCCCAACTGACCAAACTATATTTTTCAGGTTTCAAACTGGGAAAGAGAGGAAGAAAGCACATGATAGAAAGAAAAGAACACTGTTGACCAAGATGAAATATATCAATTAAAAGGAAAAGAAAAGCTAGAAAAAAATAGATGTCTACATAAAAGGCTAATAATTCTCAAAAAGTTTATTTTTGAAAATGGAAAATCATTTCTCCATACAGACAAAACTGTCTATGCTCTAAAACTTTGACACATATTTGTCCATTATTATAGATCAAATATTTCCGAGGTGAAAAGTATGTATTTGTTTTAGCATACTCAGGTGCATTTATTTATTTATGTTTCATCTTTCTTCCACGCTTTGGAGTCAGCTTATGAAAGGATTCCTGAGGTAGCCTGAATGAGAGAGTCAATGGGCCAAGATCACGCAGTGGGTTTGTGACTGAGGGTGGACTTAAACATGGCTTTCTCCAGTCCTATTCCAACACCTTAGCACTACATCATATTGACTCTCTTTCCTTAATTCTAGTTCCTTAACCTTAGCAGTTCTTACACTGGTATATCCATGGAACTGTTAACAGATGAAAAATAAGTGCCATGACAAACACCATATCTAACCTCCACCTTTACTACTCCTGGCCCAACAATCTGTAAATAAGAAAGCAGAGTAAAAGCAATGAAACTATAATTTTATTTCAAGGACCCAAACCAGCTGGCCAGAATTCGAAAAGCAAGAACCATGAGATTATTTTCCAAAGTTATTAGCATATATCTCATATATGGGCGTGTATTTCTCCTTAAATTCTAGAAGTACCATTCAGTTACTGGTCTCAGTTTTTGCATCATGACTTAGTGTTATGTGTAAATTCCTAAGCTGGTAAGTAAGTAGGAAGGCAGACAGGCCATCCAGCTGGACAGCTTCACAAATTAGCCACATGAGATTCATAGGACTAAGTAAAGGTCTGGTTACAGAAAGAGTTTTCAAACTTGCTCAAACGATGCACAATCCCTTTCAATTTCCTTTTCATCTAAAAAAATCTGTAACAGAATATTGGAGAACCTCATGGATGGAAGTAATATAGAGGTGATAAAGGGGATTTGAATTCCACAAAAATTCTGTCCTCCTGTAAACAGAGATCTCAGGTGGATTAAGACTCTGTCTTTTAAGCATTTTCATGGGCAACTTTGGAGCTAACTAACAGTAGATTACAATACAGGTAGTCCTCAACTTATGACCATTTGTTTAATGACCGTTCAAAGTTACGACAGCACTGAAAAAAGTTACTTATGACCAGTCCTCGCACTTACAGCTGTCACAGTATCCCCTCAGTCACATGATCAAAATTCAGGCACTTGGCAACTGGCATGCATTTACAATGGTTGCAGCATCTCAGGTCACATGATTGCCATTTGCAACCTTCCCAGGGGGCTTCCAACAAGCAATGGGGGAAGCCAGATTCACTTAATGACCACGTAATTTGCTTAAAGTCCACAGTGTTTTGCTTAACAACTGCAGCCAAAAAGATAGTAAAATTGGGTATAACTCACATAACGACTACATCGCTTAGTGATGGAGGTTCCAATCCCATCTGTGGTTGTAAATCAAGGACTACCTGTATTTGTAGTTGAAAAACACTCAGGTTTTTTAACATTTAGAAAAATTTTACAAAGAATATGACATGGCAGGTTATATCCTGACATGAAAAGCTCAAAGCTTAAGTAATCTATACATTTTATAATGATATTAACTTAATCAAAGTACCAGTTTTCAATTAATATTCAGGTAACTCTACCATCATGGTTTAAGCCACTTAGTCTGCAATTTTATATACATTTACTTATTGGAAATAAATCCCACAGATGTTAACAGGATTAATTTCTGAGTAAATATATACAGGTGTTTTACTATTAAACCAGAAGAATTCAGACATTAACAATACTGATTTTATTGATCTTAACTAGATTTTTTGAAATCCTTGTCAAGTTATTGGTAATGAGAAAGTACAGGGCACAGAAAAAACATTAGAATGTTTTGGCTTTATTTGAAAGTACTGAAAATAACTAAATTAGAAGTTTTAAACCTTTGGTTGCAATCCCATTTTAAGTATTTGCATATAAGTATTTGCATATAGAGTTTAGCTGTACACTGCAATTCAGCTCCTTGTCAAGATTCTCCGGCAAGTTTCAAAACTCAAGTTATAACAATTTCATCTGAAAAACGCACACATTAAATTCTGCTATGATGCCAAGATTTCTAAAATCTAATCTAATATACATTATCAAAGACAAACACTGTACAAGTAGGTATGGATTGAGTTTGATAACAAACTCACATGTATACGGGTGTTGACTCAGAAAAGGCTACAGCAATGGAAGGAATCAGTACATGTTCTAACAAATTAATTATGGAGTGATGTTCAGCTACTTTCCAAATAGTATTACTCTTTGAAATACGTAAAGCTCATCAAGTTACATGTTCAAAAATGCTGTATACATTTATAAAGTGTGTATATTGGTCACAGCATTTCATGTTCTTTATTGCCCATTTTTATCTAACCCAAAAGATATAGTGAAAATAAAAAACTAATAGAATTACACTCCAGGTAGAAAGCTCATATGAATATGTGTTAGTCTGAATGTCATTATCTGTCCTGTCTTTTTGCTACTCATAAATTAATTAGCACTTTCAGGACTGTGTTTTCATTCACAAAACTGATTTTAAGAGTCTCTTGTTATCAAAATCATGATGTAATTTTTATATCTGCATCTGCTCATAATGAAGTATGGAATTTATTAATCTTTGTTAATAGAGCAGTCAGCTGCAGAATTCTTCCTACATTTAAATGTGTTGTCACAGCAATATTCCTGCCAGGCAAGAACAAATTAATAAACATATATTTTTTCCATCTTAACAATAAAGTAGAAATGTAAAGATGAGTGATTTAATCTCTTTTGGTTAATTATATGCTGTCCTGTGGTTATCATTCACAAGATCAGCCAACTTTCAATGATACAACACATGCTTTGCATGCAGGAGACTCTAAATTTAACACACAGACTGTCAAGATAGGAATAAGATAGATCAGTATCTGAAACACTAAAGAAATGGTACCAATTTACCTAGATGTAGACAATATCATGCTAGATTTTCTGAATCAGTTTAATGAAGCTTCACATAACCAGTTAGCTAGCATAATTTTCACATAATTGCATTTAGTATAAGTCATTGGCAGTTTAGAACTTCCAACTTGGTACACAAAATACCACCAAATCTCATTCCCAGTGATGTATTTCAATTGTACAGTTTCCTCCTCTTCCTTTTAGGGCTGTTTAGTCTCTTTATTTCTAGTGTGAATAAAGGTTGTCCCTTAAGCATTGCAGCTGCCATTCTCAAGCTAAAGGCTTTTTAATGCCCATGTAAAATAGTGCAAGCAGCAAAAATGGCTCTGCCAGGGGTTGCCCTCTAAACCTCTGTTGCTTACTTCAAACAACCTCTACCTTTTCATGCAGGAATGAAATTTACCATCTCTTATTATTCATTCCATTTAAGATACAATTTTTGTTAAACTAGAACACATGAATGTTACCACAACTCCATAAGAATATGTGGGGGAAAAAACCTTTTCTCACTTAAACTGAATACTCAAAAAAAATCCTATTTAGTTTATTAGTCATTTCAGAGGGAAGTCACTGTTTTCCCATAGATATTACTTACATATTTCTTTGCTATATTAGGACTAAACAATTGCTAAATTGTAGATGACAATTTAAGAGGAAGGAAGGAAGGAAGGAAGGAAGGAAGGAAGGAAGGAAGGAAGGAAGGAAGGAAGGAAGGAAGGAAGGGAGACATTCATAGACAACTATTACCTAAGCTCAGATTAAGGCTCTCATAAATGGTAGAGTACCTGACCAAATTCATTTCCTTTCAAACACTATTTTAATGGTTTTCTACCAGGAGATATACCCTTTAATAGTAGTGAGCAGGCATTCTCAAGATGCTAGAGGGCAAACATACTTCCAATCAGCATACTCTTTTTTTTCCTCCTCCCTTTGTTCTTGTGGTCACGTTATTTCTATATTAGGACTAAACAAAATAGGATGGATCAAAATGAGACATTAAAGACCCACTTCAATCAATGATTCCAACACAATCCTAGACAATTCTAACTATACCTAGACCAATGCAGGTAATGGTCACTCATTTATCTGAGTCAGATACCTATGTCAAGTAACTTACTAAGCCAGAATCTTAATTCAGTGTCATATGGTGTTAAAGAATGTGCCTCGTTCAAGGCTGGCAACTAGTTTCTCAGTTCAAACAAAAAGAAAAATGAAGCCATGGTTACTTAGAGACTTCCTGTTTTATTCCTAGTGCCAGTGAATAGAGGAAAGAATTGCATTCACAAACAAATGGCTTCTGCATATTTCAGCTTATTAGACCAAGATATAATAGTATGAAATGGGTCCATCTTGCTCTTTTGTAATGAGAAATGTGACATCTAAATAGAGCCTACTATTTATTTGCCAAATAATTAAACCAGCTTCAGCAAAAAAAAAAAAAAAACCTTTACAAGAGTGTTAAAAACATCTCTATCTGAAACAGTCCATTTTGAAAGCAATATACTGAACATCTAAGTGTTTCAAGTTTGAAACAGGGCTGAACTTGAAATATTTCCAAAATGCTCAAAGCAGCCCACTTTGCACTCAAAGCAAGTGTTCCAAATTAAAGTTCAAATCAAAACATTAGGAAATCATCCCCTGAAAGGATATAAAGCCAAAATCCCATAGAAAGAGCAGGAGTTCTTTATCTAGCTGAAACATATGAATCTTCAGCATTCTGTCAGGAAGTAGCTTTCAGATTAATCTAAGCATTTTAAACATTCATAGAAGATAGTATTTTAAAAATAGAGATAATTGCATCCAGGATGTCATGATTTGCTCAAACCTATCATTTTGCAACTACAAAATGCATCATTTTTCAACTACAGTCAGTCTCTTTTTCAGTAGAATCTTATGAATTTTATCATTAAACTTTCAAACCACATCCACTGTGAAAACATTTGCATTTCTACTTTATCATAATGGCTACCTAAACAGACAAAGATCACTTATCCCTTGCCACCAGAGTCTTTAATTCTTAAGTCTGGGGAGGAGTAGAGGAGTTTTATATTCCTAACGAATATTGCTTCTTTGCCAATGGAATTAGTAAATTTACATGATAATGAGATTCTCTAATTATGCCCTAATGTTGAAGGTAGACTTGTAAAAGAATTGTGCAACTGGACTCAACTTTAATTTTTTAATTTTTATTGCATCAGACTTCATTTTGAGGAAAGAACAGTTCAGCTACACTTCAGTAAAACTTCTGAAAGTAGCAATAACTGAGAGTAACAATAAAAACAGCTCAGTATTGAAGACCATCATCACTGCGGAAAGGCTTTATTATTAAACAATTTTATTATAAATCTAAGCTTCCTGGAATAGCATAAAGGCTATTACAATTCAGCATAACAGACAGATCAGACTATATTACTGAGACTATGAGATGTACTGGTTACATATGGACTTCCTTCTTATAATAAATATGCTGGCTGGAAGTTATTGGCACATGACAATCATTGAGGTAATGGTACTTAGGAGTAAGACTATAAAATAGTCAAATGGCCAGCCTCTTAGTAACCTGAATACGCAGACACTGAAGAATGCTGATTTCTTATTCATCCATTAAAGGACTGTTTGATGCTTTGGATTCAAATGCAAAAAGTGGTTTCAAAGAACCCAAAGGTGCAAATGCAGCATGTCTGCAATTCCTTAAAACAATTATATATTTTCATAAAATCATACAGTTAACCCCCACAGCTACAGCACTATCCCAGGAAAAGACATACTTGGTTTAGAGATCTGAGACAACTGCTATGTTTGTACCCTCACACTCTCTAAAGCACCTTTTTGCCTTTGAATCCAATGTGCATCAGAGCCTGAATTGATTATGCACTTTTTAAAATTTGTTGTAATATAGCTTAAGAAACAAATTGTATTATTCTGCATAGTGTGTGTTCTAATTTCTCAAACAGAAATTATTTGCATAAAAGAGAAATATTAGTTAATAAAACCTGGTGTGACTATACGCGCAGCAGCTAAACACAAATGGAATTCTTCATTACTGTACTGCTATTAAATACTTACAGTGAAAAATACGGAAATCAATGTATGGATGAGAACCTCTTCTCTCTCTTTCAAATCCTGCCCGACTTCTTACTCGTACATCTCCTGGAAATAGGGTCAAGAGTGAAATATACCATGTCGAAGAGCTACAGAGAAAAATGCAACTGAATACAGTTGCAAGGTGTAGACGTTTTGTGGATGTAGTGTAACAGTAATACAAGGACTGACTCAGCATCTTTATCTTAGATGCAATTTCACAAGTTTGAAGATTTTTCAAATATCCAATTGCCTGTTCGTCATACATCCCTTTCCTACCTTCTCATATACAATTCACTGCATATATAAATATTTAAATTTAATATCCATATGCTAAATTATACTACCACGATGAATGACAAAAACATACCTGAAGAAAAATATCAAAATTCTTTTCTCTCTCCAATATCAAATCATTTTTCTAAAAGATATCAATTGAATAAATTTGTAATGTATACATACCTACATTTATAAATTTTACAATTATAATAATTTCCATTAAAATTTATGTATGTTCAGCTTGATTATATCAGTCTTCACTAAAATATCAAAATGTAGTATTAACATGAACATTACTGCATGTGTTTCCCCCTTCAGCTAAAATAAGTACCTTCTATATTAATGTTGCTATTTGATACTGGCAAAACAATAAATAGCCTTTTTCTTTAATTATTACTATTTTTCACATATTAATCAATATTTACGAATGCCTATGCTTTTTTTTTTCAAATTATAGAAATACTTCACAGGTATGCCAAAGAGCTGACATGATGATCCAAATTGTCCTTAAAACTCAACTATATACTAGTCAATTATTCTATAACTGCTTTTTCCTCAGTAAATCTAAATTTTATATTATTATTATTATTATTAGCTGTTTTTCAAAATATTGCTGCAAGCCTGCTTATGCCTAAGATATGATCTCATTCTATTTTGTGTTATATATTGCATTGTCAGGTGGTGATTTTGCAGAAAACATTTCATATGTCTTACTCGTGTTAAATCTCACAACGAGAATTTATCTTATAAAACAATGAGCTTACCTATAAACTGACTTGGCATTTCTAGTAAGGAATCCACTTATGGCTATTAAAAATGCATAAGCATTGAGTTATATGAAGTTCTTCAGGCGGAAACAGAATTAAAGCTAGATGTGTACTTGGCAATATAAAGCAAGATACTGTTTGAAGACAATCAGGTCACTGATAATAAAACACTGTAACAGTTGGATGACAAAGATCCAATACTGTGGTATTTGTATGCAATGGAATAAATCAAAAATCTCTATTCATATATAGGAGTTTTTTAATTGTTCTACTAACTCTTTCCTCATAATCCACTTCCACAGGAGGAGCATTCAGTATAATATGAGAAGCTACAACTGGAAAGTTTTTTGTTTCTTTACAAAAAGCACATCAAATCCTAACCAGTATTATTTTTCCAGTTCCCAAATAAGAGCATTCTACATTTTTATGTTTATGTTCAGAACGAGAAAGAAGTAAAGTCACTTTCAGTGTAACTTTCACTGTAGTTAGCACTAATCACAACCAGCAATTAAATAATAATTTTCTCAGAATGAATCTGCCAGGACCATTATAGTTGAAGTCAAGCCTTCCCTAAAACTGGTATCCTCTAAATGTGGAGTTCAATTCCCAGAATTCTCAGCAATGATAATGTTGGCTGAGGAATCCTGGAAGTTGAAGTCAATGCCTCTGGAAGGTGCCAGAGCTTGGGAAAGTTACTTGTAACTTCCATAACCATCCAAGACAAAGTGCCACCAGACAGCTAATGATGAAAAGACAGACCTGAGTCAATTAAAGAAAGAGTAGATGTAAGGAACTGACTTCTCCATACCCCTAGAAGAAATAATTCCTTGGCCAATCAGCCAATTCCCTTAAGGGTGCAGAACAAAAGAAGCTACAACCTGCCACTGGAGAGGAGTGGAATAACAGCAGTGGGAAGATCAATCTGACTGATCCCATTGGCCAGAAAAGAAGCAGTTGTTTCCATTTTGTCACTCTTAGTCTTAGTACTTCTACAGTGCTTAGGAAAGTAAACAGTATTGAGATACAATATTGGCATCTTATTTCAGAATGAGTTTGGAGAATTCAAACCTAGTCCTGTATCTGAATTGATCCCAACCATTTATAGCAGCTGTATTTAAATGTGCCTAACCATTATTTAACATTAAAACAGCGATTCTCACTGAGCTTCCACATTATGCTTTCCCCTACTCTCTCCTCCTACAACAAAAAAGTGAGGAAATCAGAATTTCTGCTTTAAATTAACCACAGTTTAGGATGTCATCTAAATTCTAAACTGTGTTTACATTAATTATGATTAATTGAAAGAAGCCATCTTCACATACTATGATTTGAAATATAATTTCCATTAACTGTTATCCTTTGAAATTACTTTCCAATAATAATTAAGATGAATTATAATTTGTAACCCAATGTTTCCTGAACCTTGGAGTCATATGCTAGGTGCTGAAGGAGTAGGGCCAGAAAAGAAGCTAAATTTATTTTGTTTATATTTAATTAAAATTAAATATAGTTAACATCCAGTTATGTATTAATTCTTCTCCAATACATTACAAATATTATTTGGTAACAATTTTCAGAAGTCTCTTGGGCCACATCTAAGGCTTTGGAGGGCAGTACATATAGCCCTTGCCTCAGGCTGTACACATCTGGATGAACATAAATTCATCTATAAGTAATAATAAATAATTTGAAATCTCAAGACTTAGATTTAAACTTTTTATTTTGAATCCTTTCTTAGTTTTATAGTTATGGGTTTAATTTAGAAAATAAGACTTTTTCTATGTATTTTGATCTTTCAGAAAGCATCTTACTGGCAAAATAAAAAGGAGAAGAAAGCAGAAATGACTAAAGTATGATAAACTGCCCAATGTTCCAGTGGACATCTTTCTTTGGGGATATTAAACTCAACAAATGTAGAATAAAATCAGTGTGATAGCAATGCCAAGATTAGATAACATTCTTTTAAATAGTCAGACTTCAATGGGAATAGAACAAACAATATTAAGCAACACATAATTTAAAACAGTATCAACAGTATTAAACATATTAAATACTCAAAATTCAATATTTCTTTTCAAAGGGATTCTCTGCCATCTGATAAACAGACAAGTACTTAAAAGCCTTAACTCCTTTGGATACTGATGTTTTCAAAAGTATGTGTCCCTGAGAAAGACATTCATCATAATGTGTTGGGCACCTTTGCTTTATTTAATTAATCAATTGTATTCTATCAGTTTCAGGCTTATCACTTTTTTCTCCAAATTAAAGATTCTATATTCAAATACAAAGCTATATCCAGTAACAACTACTGTGGCCACTTGCCAACAACATGGGCACAGTTGCCAGAATGCATTCCTTTCTCCATTATGTAGGATGGGAGATTTATGCAAAATGCAGCAGGAGATTCTTGAATATAATCAGTTACTTGTATTCTATATGGAAGAACCAAAAAAATTCAAGATCCATTCCTGATTTCACTCCTAGAATCCCTTTCAAGAAAGATTATTGACTGAACAAAACATAATTTAGCTGCATTTTATAAACCATATTGGTCTTCTGCTGAAAACAGAGCAAACATGTTGCAATGCAAATATCTCAAAACAGTCAGACATAAAATGAGACAAAGAAAGTTATTATCTTATGAAATTAACAATCCACTCTTGCCACTCACAGGAATTGTATACATTGAATGGAAAGATGAAATTATACAAATTGACCTTTCCAACACCTTTATACCTGTTTTGTCACCAACACTGAATTATATATAGCGATTTAAAGTAGGAACTCATGATGACCCTGGAGTTCAGTCACCAAAAGTTATATCTGGCCCAGATTATCTAAACATCTATAGGCATAGATAAAGGGTTCTTTAACAACTATTTTGCTAATATGAAGAGCAGAAAAATAAGAGCTCTCCCTTACTTTACTGCTTTTTGAGCAATAGCTGAGAGTTCAGGATGACTCCCAACTTGTACATTAGTCTCAAAGAGGAAAGTGTGACTCCATCCAAGGTCAAAGATGAAAACATCCCTTACCAAGGGGGGCCAAACAGCCACAGCCATTCAGTCTTGTCAGGGTTGTCTGTTCCTCTCCATTTGGACCTGAGCAGCCTCCAGAGCCTAGGTCAGTATATTGACAGCTTCACCTGCATAGCCCAAGGCTGAGATGTACAATTGGGTATCATCTCCATACTGATGATACTGGACTCCAAACTGACAGGTGACGTCACTCAGAAGTTTCATGTAGGTGTTAAACAGGAGGAGTGAGAGCATCAAGCCTTGAGGCACCGTGCAGTGAGGGGCTGCAGATGCAACCTCTGCCCTTTGTCAATACCAATTGGGACTAATCACTGAAGAAGGAAGCAAACCACTGCAACACAGTATCCCCAACTCCCAACCCCTGCAACCAGTCCAGAAGAATATCAATGGTCAATGGTACTGAAAGCAGCTGAGACATCAAGGAGCACAAGGATGGACACACCACCCCCATCCCAGCTTCACCAAAGGTCGTCAACAAGTGTGACCAATGCCATTTCAGTACTGCACCCTGGCCTGAAGCGGGTCCAAATAATCTGCTTCCTCCATGACACTTTGCAAGTGTTATCCAACCACCTTCTCAACAACCTACATCACAAAGGGAAGGTTAGAAACTGGACAGTAACTGCCTGGCAGAGAAGGGTCCAGCAATGGCCTCTTGAGAAGGGGGTATACTACCATCTCCTTCAAGCCTGAAGGATCACCCTCTCCCTCAAAGAGGCCAATACCACCACATGGACTCAACCTAATGACTCAGAAGGGGACTGGACCTAACAAGGAGGTAGCCAAACTCACAGTTCAGTGGATCTTGTCCACTTCACTGGGAGTCACAGAATCAAATTCAGTCCAGATAAAATCACAAGACTGTGCCACAGGCAACTTGCTTGGATCTGTCCAGAGTCCAGATCCAGGTGAATTTATCCACCACACAGCATGAATACTCTATACCAGAACCCTCCAGATGGTCCTGGGACCCATGCTTCCCCAACAGAGAATGGGTTACCCTAAACAAGGATGTAGTATATCTATCGGCAGACAAAATAAGGGTGGAAAATAATGTTTTGCTGCCATTATCACCATGTTGTAGCCTGAATATGGGCTCTTACTTGTAATCACTCCCATTCACTCTTTGCCTTTCTCCATCAGTGTTCTTGGAGTCTCTTCTGGTGCTTCACCTCCCAGAGTTCCTCAGAAAACCAGATTGGTGCACAGAGAGAGGCCACACAGAATCAATCTGGTCCAAGGCCACACTCACCCATCCATTCCAGGCTGCAACCAAGGCCTCAGCCAAGCTGTCTACCATATCCTCAAAGAAAGCCCCAAGCTCCCTCTGGAACCCATCTGTCACCTGGGGCTGATTGATCTAACAGGCCCTATCTCCCCATGGGGCTGGGTGGCACCAGTAGGCCAGAGGGCAATCAGGAAATGACTTGTCCATGGCAACAGACAGATGATAATATTCTCCAACACCAGATCACATTGCAACTGCCCAAGAGAGATGTTTTACTGCTCTGTTTTCTCACAACATTCTGAGACAGTTTGTTATTTACATCTTCCTATCCTGTCATGGTATTTTACTTGTTCCATAGGCTGATATCTGCTAGTGAGGAACAAGCTCCCTTTTCTTGTTTATGAGCTGGTTCAATGATATTAAGGAGGAAACTGGAATTTTACATTGATTCATATTTGATTTGTATTTTACAAGTCTTCACATTGAAAACAGCCTAGTAGAACTGTGACTCACACTGAGATCTGGATGGCATGAGTGCAGTCCTTGTGCCTTTGGCACCACTGACTATATTATCTTTTATCCTATTCGTTCTGGTTTGGGAGCTGCATATTGTAGTAGCACTGTTACTTCCTGAACAATCAGAGGATATCTTCTAGCTATCATAAGGTAGTTCTACATAACCTTGGTTCAACACCACTGCTTTTCACATATGAAATGTCATAATATTCCCTTCTATCTCCAGATGTCTGGGCTATGATGCCATCATATATGGGCTACATGCAGCTTTGCCTCTGGCTTTCACTTAATGGTCCCAGATAAATAGTGGGATGTCTGTATCAAAACACACAAGGGAGAAGAACTCAATGCAGACATTCTACAGAATGGGAAATGAGATAAGCTTAATACTGGTGTAGAACTGGTTTCATTTTATGTTTCGCTTTCATGGAAGGACCAGGTGCACAGAGAGGAATGTTTCTGGATTTGTTGCCTTATCTAACAAAGCCCAGATAAGGCAAAGTGACTGGAAGTGCATTTTAATCAGCTCAGACTTGTTAACTTAAATGTAACAGTGAAAATAAATACTTTTCTGTCAAATACCAAGATACTGCAAAAGGAAATTAAAACAAGCAGGGAGGTTAGTGGCTGTAGTACAGCAGCAACTGGGCTGAATGAAATTTGCCAAATTAGACTGAACTTTCTGGACAATAAACAAACACAGAATAACTGTGTAGGTACCAGAAAGGAAGGCTACAAATAATCTATTTTCACTATTTTTAAGGAATCATTTACTTCCAATTTGCTATATGCAACAAGATTAATGCACATTAATGCACATTAATTTACTTCCAATTTGCTATATGCACAAAATTCTTTTTTTGACTGGGGATGCACAGAGATCTGACTGTGATTTACCAGATACTAAAGCAGAATTGGCAGATATATCATCCAACGCTTACTATCTGCTGATTCTTCAGTACTAGCAACTGAACTTACTTCGTGCTCTAAAAGTGCTCTAAAAGTCACCATCAATGCATTTCTGCAAAATTTACAATAATGAATAACCTAAGCAGAAGTTACTGTAAAGGGTGGAACACACCAATCACTTATAATGCTGTATTTCTCTCTTACGTTTTATTATTGTCTGTGGAACTAATCTGAATAATTTACATTAAAATTCTTTCCACATCTTTTCCTCTGTGTTGAAGTTTCATTATTTCAAAATTTCTGTCACATGACAATATTTAGTTTACAACTTAAGTCGAAACTCATTCCTATACAAATATTTGCTCATGAGTCATTCCAACTATCTTTAAACAAAATAAATTCTTAATCTTACATGTATTCAGCATTTGCTGTAATCTTTGTGCATTCAAAACAAGAAATATAACTACAAGAGCTAACCTTTAAAGCAAGTAAAGAGTACTAAACATAAATATGCATATACAATTTTATACATAATCACGAAAAATATACTTTAATATCATATATTTAATCTTTCTTATCTCTCTTTAATATCTCTCATATTCTTTAGCATTTCTCTTATATATTTGCATCTCCACTTCCATATTTTCTTCCCAATGAGATCTGAATTACAGAAGAGCCTGTACCTTCCTTTTTTGAAACCATCTTCAGATGTATTTTTTAGTGTCTGACTCAACATGGAAGTGGTACCAAATTAACTGTAAATACTTAGAGGCAAGTATTTGAAAGCAATGGAAAAAGAAGGGTAAGAATAGAAAAAAGAACCAAAAAGTTATTAAAATGCACTCTGCATATTGTCTACTTGACAGAGAGATCTGGTTATCTCAATAAGTAACCACACTTACCTAGCATGCGAATGTACAATGCAGTTTGATCAGAACTGTCATAGGAAATTGCTCCACGTCTCTGAAAATTAAAAACATATATATGTTATTTCTGCTTTTTTAAGTGAGTCTTAATTTCTAATTTTACTTAAAGAACCATTATAAATAAATGCTCCAATAAAGGATAAAAGTTCAAACTTGAATCATGTTTAAGGAAACTAGTCCTGGATGGCGTACTTTTCCTCACTCTCCAGACTTAACTGATCTTAGCTCTCTAAAATCAATTAAAAATGCTGCTTCTTAGTTATAAAGACAATGGCACATCTGTTAGCTGCATCCAATCATATTTTACACTGAACATACTAGTCAATCTCTGCATAAAAGAAACACTTCAATTCCCCAAAGGATTTTAATGGCCATAAATAGTTCTCACTGGTTTTGATCTCTCATTACTACTTCCTCTCTACATCCACTAACTCCCCCCAATGGCTGGGTAGTAATAAGACTCCTTTCCTGGAACAATTATTCTAATAATACTTCAAGCTTATGTACAATACATTTGTTAGTCTTGCAAATGCCATAAGACATTTTGTTATTGTTTTATCCTGCTAACAGCTTTTAAGTTTGCTTCTAGAGAACAACAGTATATTTTCTTTAAAACACAAAGTAAATATGTTTAATGTTAAGAAGGGTTCACTTGCACTCCTAGTTCTAGCCAATGGTGTAATTATAAATATTTTAAATAAATAATAAAATATCTTCTGGCAGAACAGCACCATCAGCACATTTTTCCTCCCTTTTCCTTTTCCATTTCCCAAATCAGCTTCCAAGGATAGGGGATCCCTGTGGAAAAGATCCAGATGAGGGAGGAGTAAACCACTGTTAATGTAAGTAATAATGTATAATCAGAAGGAAGGACCAAGAGAATTTTTACAGAATTACGGAAGTAAATACTGTCTTGCAACCTAATATTTGCAAGCTGTTTTGAGCATTATTTGCTGTAAAAAAAAGTACAAATGCACTAACATGAACTATAGTTAATGGACTGAGAGAATTAAATTTATAATTCCAAAGTGAATATAAACAGTAAGGATGTAATACAGTTACTTATAATTTCCATACAGTAAATGCAAAATATTCACTAATTACACAGAATTAGTAGTTTATCAATCATTATCCTTTCTCACTTATTCCCTAGATATATATAAAAACAATAAATGTATTTACTTTTAATTATGTTTTTCAGTGATCTATGTAAAGAAATAGAGACAGAATATAACAGAAAAGTGATAATGTATTCCAATGATGGGTTCCTTTAAAATATCTGAACACCTATCTTTGCAAACTACACTACTGTATTATGCATATTTGAAATTCCCACAGCTATCTATGGCAGGGTAATCTTCAAAAGCACACAAGACTCCTTCACTTTCCAGACCAAAGCAACAACTGTGAAGTCCACTTTCTCTATAAATATGGAACTGTATCTGCTATATAAACAATAATCTTACTACTACAGGGTCAAACACATTATTACCCCTACAGTATGTTACAGCATTTTAGAGAATCAAGTTCAACATAACTGTGCCCGAAAATACTAAACATCTTTAAATCTACCATTAAATGAGGAATCAAGCATTAGTACTCAATTAGAAACTGCATTATAAAAATGGAGATGAAAGGTGAAGATTATAGGAAAAAGCATTATTCACAATTATATGAGAGAAAAATATTTAATGACTAAGCACAAAACTGTCAAGATTATCTATGAAAAAAATCAGGTTTAAAATATACTAGTAATTTGACATTTCTCTAATCCCTTCATTTGGGTAATTTGAACATTTCTACACTTTAATAAACCTTCAATATGTTTTGAAGCACTAGTGAAAGATCAATTAATGGCAGGAACGTATTTGGAAATATGTCTACAAAAAGGCACTCTAAACCCAACTTCCTGTTCTCAGTGATTTCAACAATCTCTTGGCTCCTACTTCTTCCCAATATTGAACTCCCTACAACTCAAACATCTGCAACCATCACAGTTACACTTTTTCAACTGCCTCCAACATTTTCTTCATTTGGCCAAAACCTATTTCTTTCACTATATTAAAAAGATGCCCATTCACTTATCCAAGTTTTATGCTTCAGCTTTCCTATATTTTGAACTTTCAACTTTATTGTATTATAAACTACATCTTCAATAGGGCATCCATAGAGGCCTGTATCCATAAACAACTCCCTTGCCTTGCCTTTTATTTGTATCAATTCCTTTAATTTAAAAAAAAAAATGAAAGCTAGCCTACTGCATACCAAAATTCCAGCTTCAAACATAATCTTTATTAGAATACAACTGGGTCCTGCAGCTCATTATTTTATTTAGTACAAGAAGTAAGCTGAGTGGCTTGAAAGCATATTGGCATGCCAGAAGGGGGAGTAACTATACTAGTCTTTCCACAGGTAAACCACTGTTTTGTACTGGTCATATTCAACATGACAATCATTTTGTGAGAAGGCTCACAATATCCTCAACATTGCAAATAACACAGTGACTCAATAAGATTGTGGGCCTCTGTTTTAGGCAGTAAAAGTATCTGAACTTCTGAACTCCAGATAGTCACTCTTTGCCAGTACAGTTGAAAAGAGAGTGGGGATACTAACAGTAATCCATAATGGGGATAAGACAGGTAGGGATTTGTAGATATGAGGAAAGCCAATCCTTAGAAGAAACTCCAGGATCCAATGTGAAGGAAGGTACTGACAAACCATTTCCATACTGTTACCAAGAAAGATGCATTTAAATGGTTGTAATATTTAACTGAGCATGAGTGCCAGACGATAGACACTCCCTAGTCAGAAACATTCTTCTAATTTCTAATTACAACAGAAGAGTGTAGAACTTCTATGAGCAGAACTGGAGGTGGTGACATGACTGCACTAAAGTCATAAGGGTGTCTGGTCATTGACAGTGCCAGTACTGAAAGAAAAACTCACTACTTTACAAGGACACAAAATCAAAACATGAAAGTGAGAAGCATGAACCAAAGAAAACACGAAACTGTAAAAGCCTGACTAAACAGCACTTACAGTTACATACAAAAGTTTAGGCACCCTGTCAAATTATATGTTTCAATGAATCCCTAAATAAACGGAAGCTGACACAACCTCTATATAGTACAAAGTTAAAGACAACATATTTATGTCATGTTTCTGTATATTTGAATTGCACACTTACCATTTATGTGCAATTGTTTACAGATTTATAAGAAGAAAACAGTGAATATGGCAGGCACAGAAGTTTGGAGACTCCCTTCAGTTAGTATTCTATAATACTGTATAGTTTTCATTTACTGAAAAATCTCTAGCATCTAAAAATGAAAATGGCTTTCCTAGGCAACAAGAGATATGGCTGCATATGTAGATTTAAATCCAGACTTCCTATTCATATTTTATAAACCACCAGCCCTGTTTAAAAAGGAGTGTTCAGATGAATTAAGAAACAGGCTTTCTGATGGCCCCTGAAGAAAAAGGATGGATTCTAATAGTAAGATTTAGAGAGCAAAAGATATACATAGTCACTTTATAGATATCCTGAAAAACTTAAGTCTACATAACATTTGATCAGAGATGTGTAAAATACTTTGAATTAAAAGTATTCTGTGCAAGTTCAAAACAGGCTGTTCTAAACTTATGGGAAGAGTCCCAATCTTACTGGAAGTATTTGGAGCTCAAAATAGGGTTGTTTCAAGTTCACAGCAGTTGCTCATCAAAACACTCTGAGACATAGAAAGAAAAAACTGAAAGATAATTTAATTCTTACAAATGAAATGGCCAAATAGGTTGGCAACAATAGGGCCCACAGGTAAGAGACTAATCAAAACATCTTCAACTGAGTCAATATTATCACCTATTTAAATGTTTACAAAATATCCTGGGTCTTTGTGCTCTTTCTAAGGATATCTAACCTTAGAATTTATTAACTGGAAAATTAATGGGCTTTGTGGGGGGGGGGTTTACACTGTTTTTGGTATTCAGTAAGGGAATGAATTAGATGAAGAATGTTAATAGTGTTAATACAGTAACACATATAAATGTTCAATTTTTTAAAAGGTTGGATTTTTGAATCATGGATTATGGTTATATATTAGGGCTGTTTATAAAATTTTAATTGTTGCATCTCATTTTCTTAAACCTTCATTCTCAAATGCTGGTAGCAGTTGCGCCTCCTACACTTAAAGACTTTTGAAATATTTTGGAAACTTTAAAAAATAAGATGTGGAACTACTGAAAACATCTAATTATAATTTACTATCAGCAACAAAGATTTGAAAATGTTAATGCTTTCAGAATCTTCTGAGAATTGCTCTTCTTAAAAAGCTGTACTAATATAACTGTAACCAAATACTGTAAGAAAC